AAAGCATTTTGACCTTCATCCAGGTTTTCTGCCCACGTCCCCAGCCCCCAACCCTCGACACACACACACACACACACACACACACACACACACACACACACACACACACACACCTTCCTCTCCTACACACACCCCCTACACCCCCTTTGGACTGACAGCCCCACACTGTGCATAGAAACCCAGCTCACAGCGTTTCCCCCCTTTTCCTCACTCAAGTCAAGAGGAGCTCGGCTCATCAAGTCAGGGACCGTTGGGCGTTACTTCCACATACAAGCCAGCTAAGAAAGGAAATGCAGATGAGGGCTCCTGCTGCCATTCACAGAGTCCAGGTCAATGCTGCTGCCGCTACCAATGGACAAGTCACAGACAACTCTCTCGCTTTTAGTTGATGGATCTCCCTCTACCCTCCATGTTTCTCTCTCCCTCTCTGTTTCATTTTTCTCGACTGTTTCTCCACATCGCTCAGATGCTCAGGTAAACAGCACACAGAAATGAACAGATGTGTGAAAGTTCTGAGATTTCAGCGACACCATTGGTTGCTGGATCTGTTGTGGAGAGGAGGAGGTTTTTCAGGTTTTTTGACTTCACAGCTTTTAGCTTTTGTAAGTCTTAGCCATGCATGTTTTAAGCTGCAAAGTTCTGCCTGTCGTGTGACTTTTCAAACTGATCAGGACAAGGACATGAAATCAAAGTAATGACTGAGTGGCTTGTAGTTTCCAAATTTCCAAAACTTTGTGCCATTCTTATAAAATAGGCAGAGGTGGAAAGTAATGCAGTGCAAATAGTACTAGTATTTTCATGTAACATGTAATATGTTCTTTATTTCTTTTTTTGACAACTTACTTTTACCGCCTACTTTTTTACACAAATATCTGTACTTTCTACTCCTTATACTTTCAAAACCGGCTCCTTACTTTAGTTTTAATGCATTTGAGGGTAATTAGATTTTTTTTTCACCATTGCATGACAGACGTAACATGACCAAAACGCAGAAAACGATGTAAAAGGCATAACGACGTAACAAAACATTTCATTCAGCATTGCACATTAACAGACGGTAGAAATGTCCTTCAGAGAAACCAAGAAAGTACTTTTACTTGAGTAAAGAATCAGTACTTCTACTTTTAAGTCTTTTTTTACACAAGTAAGCAACACAATATGAAACCCACTTTAGAATTAGAACACAACTGATCACTGAGGAATAATGTCAGGTTAAAAGGGCATTGGTGAGGCCATCATGAGGCCAGCATTGAGTTCTGGGTGACAAATTCCCAGAAATTTGACCACTACTAAATTCATTGCTTTGCAGTAATAAAGCACAGTGTAGCCTCAAATGTGTAAGACACTTTAGTATTATAGCGTTGAGTCCAAATGGAGCAGAAATGCAGGAGGATTTTCAATACTCTATGGTGTAAAGTCATGGAAAGGGGAAAACTCATTTAAATTGACTCAGACACTCTGTTACTAGTCAGCCAAATTAAAACATAAGCAAAAAAAGCTCTAAACCACTAAAACCAGGTGGTTACATGTGTTCAATTGTTTTGGGTCACAGCAATCAGCTCCCACTGATCCTTCCATTCTTAAAGCACAGTGGATCTGTAATCCTGGTTTCTTGCATCTTGTCACATTTATGTTTAACTAGTAACATGTAAGATCTGTGACCTCTCATCACAATCAGAATAAGGAAAATGACTGCAAGTAAAATGCACTTTTTCCCGAATGTATAAATGAATGTACTGTATGCTTTATGTATGCACCTGTTTATGTCACAGTGTTCTCGACACAGAGCATTGCCCTATTTGACATGTGGGGCAGCTATGCATTCAGTCTGATATCAATTACATGACATGCATTTTTGTTATATTAGTGTACACTGTAAAAATAAAGTTCATTAACAGTCTGGTTAATCTCAATGTTCACTTTAAAGTGGCGCCAGTTAAAGTAAAAATTATGTTAAAAAACTTTGTCATGATTGTATTTTTTTTTTAGCTGGTTAAGGAAATAGTGGTTAAATAACTGCATGAGTTATAGACCTGCAGGCCCTGTCTAGATAGAAATATAGCAGAACTGGCACCTGTTAAACGACTGAGTTTATTATTTTTTTTAAATAAAAGATCCCCTAATGTATTAGGACATGCATACAAATCATCTACTTGGGGCAGTAATGTATCTACTACTAATGGCATCTACTCCTTCTAACTCATTAAAACTTCCAGAATCTATGAATATGCAAATGTTGTTCATTTCTAAAGTTGCATACTGGACCAGAGTTGACTTCCAAACTATTTGTGATGTCACAAATCATGCTGGTAGGCCCCACCCCTTAAAATCAACCCCTTTTTAATGAGCACAGAGAAACGTTCCACTTTCAGCAGATGATTATGAAAACATCCTTGTAGTGTCAAACTCTGCACAGCATTCAAATGGCACACTGTAGGAACAAGAAGGAAAACTCAAGGGGGGCTTTAAATTTGAAGGCACCTGCCTTACAATCAGGGATTCCCTTTATATAATGCTAGCACAAATGAGTGTTTAGTCAGGGATAGCCATGGTTACTTCTTTCTGCTGGACACACTATCTAGGAACAAGAAAAAAATATTTTTGACCTGAGGGGGACTTTAAGTAAATTATAAGGCTGAACTACTTTTCGTGACAAATGCAGTATTAAACCAAAGCAAGGTCATTAGTGTTGAGAATGAAGTTTTGATGACTGGCAGTTTCCTCCATGTTGTGTCTGCCGTCCTCAGCTCTTGTTATGCTAGTCATTACCTAGATATTTCAATGAAACCATCCGCAGACTCGTTAAATCAACTTCACCTTTAATGTGTGGTTTTTTCTATGATGTGTGTTTCGGCTTATATAATAAAATATTAACCTCTGTAAAGTCACATTTGCATTGTTGTCTTTTATTTATCATCACACCATTATGATATAAATTATTTACACGTCATATAAAAGAGAACTTCAGCTGAGAGTGTAGGGGGGAATGTGAAATACTGAACTCATTATTTTATCTTTAAAAATCCTGATGTCAAAATCCTATTATAGAAAACACAGCTGCTCTTTCTTTAAAACACTGTAAACACTGTAAATATGTTTTTAGCTTTATCACTTGTAAGGCAGATGCTTGTCCAGGTTTGTGACTGAATGCAAGAAAAGTAGAAGAAGAAGAAAAAAACATTCACAGCATCGTAAGACCACGATTTGGTTTGGATCCATGCGGGTTCTACCCGACAGAGGCCCGTCAGATGTGGCGTTCAAACAAAGTTATTGCAGGAAAAATAAGTTATGTAAACACTCCAGAGCCCCGTCTCCACATGGCTGTAGATGTTCGTTGTATTATAAATAAGAATATAATGGTCTTTGATAACAACAATTCAAACGTTGCCTGTTTTCTACAACATTCAGAAGGACATGGTAGCCTGTAGGTCCATGCTCTGGCCGGACGGTTGTTTGGGACATATGGGAATTATTTAAAGGGATTTGGGCTAAAAGTTGATTTGGGAAAAATCCAAATGTGCCTGTAATTTAAATGGACATATTTTCAAATGAGTGCGTGACAGAAAATAAAAAATAAAAACGAATATCATCTTTTTTCAGCACCTAAAATCACACAAAAAATTCCAATCAAGGCTGGAATAGGCTGTTGTGTTTGTGAAGACCAGCTTCTGTAAAGCAGACCTCTCATTCCGGATATAAAATGTTACATTCGGCTACGTTGACACCAAAACAACCAGACCTGCAGGTAAACATTCACTACAGTATAGGCTATATGCAGACAGAACACAATAAGAACGAAGGAGAAAACAGCCGAGAAAAGTACAACACAGACAACACAAAGTGGGCTATTTTCTCCATACACAGTTCGCAGAATGCAGCAGGAAGAATCTTTGGATTTCAGCATATAGTTTTCATTAACAATAAAGTTCATCACACACATGGCTGTATTGCGCATGACGGCTGTCCAGTCCACTCCCCCTCCCCCTTTTTTTTTTTTTTTTAAAACATCAGAGATATTTTTGTAGTAGCATCACGGTTCACACATACTTTGTCTCCACTGAAAATTTGAATTAGTCTAAATTTAATGTCGGATGGTAAAATTCCATATGTAAACACCCGACTTAAGATTCCACAGTGTATTGTTCAAACGTTTGTTCTGGCTGTCCATCGTTCTGACCTCAGGGGCGGATCTAGAGAAATATTCATGGGGTGGCATGGAGACTATACGGGGGGGCAGAAATGTATGCTGATTTAATCACAAACAATTACTCATATCAACATTTCCTTTCCCCCCAAATGAAGCTGTTTGAACTCAAAAACATGACTGTGACACATTCGTGAAGCATTGAATAGAATTAATTAAGTATGGCATTAGAAATCAATACATTGATTTATTTTCACATCTGCAGATATTTTTGTCTTTTTTCACTTTGTCTAAAATGTGGCCATAACAGATTCAATTAATTTCTGTTGTAATTTATTTTTAAGATTAATCTACATTTTTGCGTTCAATTTGGCAGCATTTGACACAAGCCCCTGTCTGCTGACCCTCCCCAGCACCTGTCTGACCCTCCCTTTAGGCTGCATAAAATCAGAATAGCTGGTTGTTTCTCACAAGAAAGCACAACTCACTGAGTTTGGATTTCTGAGATAATGTTACCTGATGTCATCTTAATATGGTGGGGTATAATCAAAGTAATGATGCCTAACATCAAAGTCAGTTTCATTCCGAATTTAAGCCTAAAGGGTGTCCCAAAAATGAACTTTATTGCCTCATCTGATACATTTGAACTAACAATGAATACATGCTTTCCAGCACCAACCAAATTGTCTATATGACTTTTTTTTTCTCAGTTAGTGACCACCAATTATGAAATGTGGCTTTTATGTGCCAAACACGGAATGTACTTTGAAAACCATTGATGAAGCGTAATGATAGCTAAAACTGGACAGTGGGGCCGACAACAGTTTTATTCGGACCTCTAGATGCACCGTGGAAATGTCCGACTTCTGGGTGGGACATCACCAGCACAATCTTTGACATGGATTGGACATCGTCATAACAAACCTACAGCCCCGCATACTCACACACACACACACACACACACACACACACACACACACACACACACACACATTCAAAGGATAAACAAAATGTCACAATATCATGTGTCTCTGGTTGGGTTTTAAATATGAATGCTGGTACTGAAGTGGTTTTATTGCATGGTCCAGAACCCCCCTCCCTCCCGCCATTCCTTCCCCTTGTGTCTCATCTAGTCGCTGTCCGACTTATTGGCGTCCTTGGCCGTGGAGTGGTTGTACAGTCCCTGCGCCATTAGATGCAGCGCCAGAGAGTTTTTATTCCCGGTAGTTTTCTTGATTTTGGCCCGCTTGTTCTGAAACCAGATTTTGATCTGAGACTCGTTGAGGCCAAGTTCCTGGGCCAGGCTCTGCCTCCGTTGCTCGGTCAGGTACCGGTTGCTCTGGAACTCCGTTTTTAACCGGTGCAGCTGCTCCGCGGTGAAGGCCGTCCGGGGCCGCTTGTCCTCTTTACTCGGGGTCGGCGCCTTCTTTGGTTTACGGGATCTTGGCCCTTAGGTGGGGGTGGGGGGAGACAAAAGTAACAGTCAGTGGTTAGTACTTTTAAGCTTTGTTACGTTTAAAAATCACAGATAGGTGTAAGAAAGGGCACTGCATTAAATAATGTAGAAATACGCACGTTTTACGCGTCATATAAATACATGAATAAAATCTTTTGTTGGGTGACACCTGTCAGGTAAAGAATGTCTTCCACTATTAAGGGATTGAATAACGGTTAATGGAGTTAATTGATATAATCTCTATATAGGATAATATTCCTTTTTATTTCTACAGAGCCACTGGGTGTTGGGTCAGGAGGGTCTTTTTGGGTCAGTTATTCATTTTGGTATAATTCTGCTAAATAAATATAGATTTGAAATTGCAAAGTGGTAGACTTGTAGCTTTTTTTTTACTGGTAGTGTGATTATTCGAGAGAAAAGTCACCAACCAGTCTCCTGAGCACAATGGGTACTATCTGACTTTTCTTTATCAAAACTTTTTGATGAAGAGTTTTCTACTCATTTATGATATATTTTATGATACTTTATCATTTTGCTGTACTTGCAAGAATCCACTGGGGTTAAATATTTGACAATATATTATAAAAACGACAAGCAAACCCCCCCCTTTCACATATTTAACCCTAATACATAGATATATCACAGAGGCAGATCTAGAGGGGTGGCATGAGGTGACATCTGCCATCCCAGTTTGGTGTCAAAGGCTGTCAAATTGAATGCATTTATTTAGATTCATTTGAAATTAAGAAAAAGAGAAAGAAAAAAAAGTCTGAACATTTGGAAATAAGACAATGTATTGATTTCTAATGCCACCTTTAGATATTCCTATTCAGTGCTTTACTAATGTGCCACAATAATGATTTTGAGTTCAAACAGCTTCATTTGGGGTATCTTCTAAGCAAATATTGATGTGATTGTTTGTGATTATATATATAACTGTAAAATAAATGTGTAAGTATTCCACAACTGTAACTAGGAAATAAATGGAGGATATTCGGCAATACTTCAGAGCAACAACCCAACAGACTAGTGAGAAGGGTAGGAGGAGGAGGAGAGGGAGGAGGAGGGTGCAGATGGGGGTAGGGTTAGGACATATGATAGAGGATGGGGGAGTTAGGCGCCTCTTTCCTTGCCTGTTACCATAGGAACTATTTTTTAAAATAGTTTACTAAAAAGAGGAATGTCCCATTGTGTTTCTAGTATAATATTTGTATCATGATAACAAATAAGTGAATGGTTGGAAAAATCCGCTTTGGTAAAGTGTATAAATATAGCAGGCCTGAATCAATTGTGCTATCAAACAGTTCCTCTGTATACTATCAGCCACTAAACCAAAGACTGTGTTCGTTTTGACAACAATAAACACTGTTTATACATTGTAAAATGTTATAAAATCGTATATAATGTCATTATTGAGTCATTTCTTTAAAGTTATGGTTTGTCTAATGGCCTAATAATGCGGGAGGAAGCCGCAGCCTCCCTGACCTCTTTAAAGGCCTTTGTGGTCATTTCCATAAGCTCGGGCCTGGACCTCGATGGAAACTTTTTGTGTGTTTCCCTACAACAATAAAACGCACATTTCGGACTCGTTTTGCTTCGTCCAGAGCTCTTCCAACCGTCCCTTCGATAGATCGCCGAAAATATTTTCCACCTGCTTGACGGCTGGTTTGTTTTTCGCAGCTTTACAGCAGTATTTAAGGCTTTCTAAATCTCCACAAAGGAAAAGTCCAAGTGCACCATGCGCCCACTTGTAAAATAACCCCCCAGTCCGCAGCAAAGCATTCACTTTATTGATCAAAAGTAATAATATGTATTTCAGTGCAATGATGAAGCAACAGAGTTCAGAAGAGAGCGATGCGGCAATAGAAGGAAAAAGCTTTAAGGTAGTGATTACAAAATGCTTCAAATCATTTCATAGCCTAACAGGGAAATGTTGTCAAAATGTACTTTTTTATTTTGCTGGGGGTGAAAAGGATTTGAAGTTGTTTTTTTTGTCGTCGAGTATCTCTTTTTGGGACACACGGCCCTCACTTTTTATACCCCCCATTGTCAAAAAATATGCTAATGGATTATCAACAAAGAAAATTGAGGAACAATGGCGTTAAACTTGGTTTTACTTCACTTCTGCACATTTTACACTTCACTTTCGACTCGGGTTTAATTTCAACTCAACATTTTTCGATGACAGCTTGTCCTTTCGTCCACTTTATCTTTATTCTAAAGCCAAAATACAGATCGAAATAGACCCAGAGCAACTTCAGTTAGTTTCTAATTCGGATTTAAAGTATTTTTTTTTTGTGTGTGAAATATGTTGCTGTCTATTCTAAGAACCGTACTGTTATATTTTAATTATTGCAAGTCGGACATATTAAATTATAATAAATATCAGTTATAATGATCCAATAATTGGTTTGTCAATTGTTACAAGTGATATGTCTATTAAGTGTGTTGGGGGTCGCGCAGCTTAGAGAATAAAGCGTCCCTTTTTTTCTAAAGATTTATGCTCCGCAGGTTTAAAATGGTGCAGTCCGAGTTTATTCTGTCTGGAAGTAAAGTAATCGGCTCTTCTTTTTTTTTAAAACTGAATGAAGTTTATTTTTTTATTTTTTCATACCAAGTGGCGGAGCATTATTTTTCCACCAACCTGATGACGGACGGTCCGAGTAGCGGGTACAATAAACCCAGGCTGGCCACAGCATCGGTTTGGACGCAGGGGCCGGGCTGGCCTGAGGGCTGCGGCAGCGGTCCCCGCTGCTCCCCCGGCCCTTCACAGCCCCATCACCGGCTATCAGGTCAGGCCTCCTGGCCTCAGTGTCCTGATGCCGGTCGTTGGATGATCCCGTGTCCTCCTCCTCCTCCACCTCCTCCTGCACCTCGCCTCCTGCTCCACCCTGCCGCGGGTTGCCAGTTTTGGAAGACTTTCTCTCTCTGTTCACTCCCAGACTGTCTCCCTCCCGGACCAAAGTCCCGTCCTTCCTCTTGCGGCCGAAGTCCGGTCTTAAAATGTTATCGATGTAAAAGTTGGTGATCCTGTGGGACTGCTGGTTGCCAGGTGGCTGGAGGAGAGGCAGCACGGCCCGATTGGACTCGTCGTCGGAGTCCTCTGGGCGCTCTGGGTCTCGTCGTGCATTTTCTTCCATAATGATGATCACCCTCAGCACCTCTCTCTTTGCGCCCTTCTACAAAGTAGTAATTCCAATTTTGTGTTACGTCCTGTTCACTTTCGTATCAATTAATTATATATTTTTGAGGAAAAAAAAACAAAAACGCAATGAGAAAAAACGAATTCCTTTTTGGCAGAATAGTTGATATTGTTTTTGCTGTGGAAATGCGCCTCTTGTGATTTTGACAAAGAAAAATCATGCTTCACTTTGTGGTAAAAGCCTCCTCCTCATGGCCGGACTCTAATGCTCAGGTGTTTTGTATAAAAATAGTAAAAACTGTAGAAAGTCTGTTGAATTTTTACGGCTCCTTGCACACAATTACTGATGCTTCCAGCAGCACTAAGCTGCCCTCATAAAGACGCCGCTCAAATACTTTCACTACTGATTTTGACTCTCATTTCTGATTGGCTGTGAGGCGTGCGATGACGTGTGATACGGGCCTCTCAGACACGTGCCTCGGACCAATAGAGCTGGAGAGCTGGCGTCATGTGAGGTTCCCGGAATTCCCTGGGGGTGCAATCCACTCATGAAGCATTCAAGTTCCAGCGGAAATATCTGATTACTAGAACTTTTACAGGCACACCTTAAAGTTTGGATAGTGGGAAATAATTTGTGTTGCATTATGGACTGGAATCATTGACGGACTCAGGGTTTTTGAGGGAAGGGGCAAAAAAGAAGGCATCAGTGTGCAGAAAGTTGAGATGCATTTATTGTGCATAACAGCTAAATTCAATTCAATTAAATTTTATTTGTATAGCGCCAATTTATAACAGAAGTTATCTCAGGACACTTTTCAAATAGAGCAGGTCTAGACCGAACTCTTTAAAACATAATTTACAGAGACCAAGGCTTAGGATTAGCACTCCAGAGATAGTTTCTATCAGAGAGCATGTTACCCAGGGACACTGGAAGCCAGTAGAGTTGGGGGTGCTAAGACAAAGTCTGTCTATGTAATGATGTTTTACTAAATGTACAAAAGTCATGGTTTTGCATTTATTTGAATATTGTGGATAATTTATAACCAATTTCACAGTTATTAACAACATTTCCACAAACTTGTGAAACTTTTTAGCAAGTAAAACTGATTTGAAAAAGAAACAAGGCAAAATCTATTTCCTGCCATAAATACCAGTGTACACATGTGAATCCCAGTTTTAAAAAAAAGAAAGAAAGAGAAAGGAGAAAGTCAAAACTGTACCTGAAAACCTTAAGTCAGCTAATTCATAAAGGCCTGACTTAAGGTTACTTACTTACTTTTGATTTGTAGGTTACACTTCCAATACTGCAGCATCCTGTATTTCCCATTGAGCCTGAATGCAGCACAGGTTACAATCAACCTAAATCAAGGATCAAGGAAATATATCTATCTTTATGCAACTTGTATGATGGAATCAAAGTTTGCTGTCCCTTCATGCTGCACACATAGGGAACATAACAGATCATTTGATTTATATTAGAATAACGTATAAAATAAATACAATAAAACAATATATCCTATTTAGATACCTACATTATACACCCAACAACCCACTGTAAATATGATCAATAAAAGTATTTTGTCAACAGCTGATAGTCTTGTAATTTCTGTGATTTGTCAGCCATCACCTGGCTGTGACTGAGAGGGAGGGGTCATGGTACATGGGTCAGGGCTTATATCTCAGTCTCATGGTTGTCCTTTAAAGGCTCACTTAAGTTTTTGGATTATATTTCACAGCCATTTTCTAAATTAAATCTTTAACAGTTAGTTGTTGCCTATGGTCTTCGCTATTAAGATATGAGTGTGACAACAGATTAGTATTTTTGAGTTTAGATGTATTTGTTTACAGTAGATCATGGATTGTGCCTTTAAAGCAGCACAAGCCTTTAACAGTGTTTCATAATTTGAGCAGTTTCTCTAAAGCTGATTTTGTGTCTCAGGAAAGTAAAATCTCTTGACAGGTGAACTGTACAGGCTCATGGCCTGGTCTCAAGTCAGACAGCCATAGGGGGCGATATTCCTGTGCATTATTCTCATCTTTGGGGAATTTTGAAAATTAAATAAACTGATGTTTAAAAGGAACAAAAAGGCATCGCTCCAACATGATTTATTGTGGTTTGCTATAGGCCAAGTTATTTAACATGGTTTATTCTATAGTCTGTAAAAATGTAGGCCGTATAGTCAGGTGTCAAAAAAAAAATCTATTGCTTGTTGACTACATCACATTTTAGAACAATTTCAGTTCACCACTATGACAATTCTTCCTTAATGTTTTGCCAGGTCGAGGTAAATATGAACTGATCCTGTTCTGAATAGAGAAGGAGTGTTCAAAAGCAGCTAAGAAAGAGATGCATTTTGTCATAAGAGCAGGTTTCTTTTGGAAGAAACGTTGGCTCCAGTTAAAAATTCCACTTCAGTGAACAGTAGAGCAGGGGAGACAAGAGGTCAAACAGGGAGTGGACATGGAACTTTGGACTAACCATTTTATTGTTGCAACTAAAACTGATAACATGCAGCTCTATACCTTCCCAAATGTGGCATCCGATATGTAGAGAAAACAAGACAAGACAACCTAGATTCAGAATTAATGAACATAAACATGCTATCCATCATCTGATCCTAAAACAGCTATGGCTAGATACTTTACTGTATTCTATTTGGCCATTCAACGTGAATGCAGATATATCTTTTACCTTAAAACTCTAAAGCCATTTGGCTTACATTAACTTTTTTTTGCCTATTCCCATATGAGCTAACATTTGTATGTCTCGCTATATATCAGTAGTTGCATCAGAATCAGTTTTATTGGTATTATTGGTATTATTGGTATTATTGGTACAGGACAACAAGCTCAACAAAATGGACAAAGACTACTATGTACAGTTATACATATATACGCATATAAACAAACAAAAAACAATAATATTTGTAGACAGTAGACACTAGTGCAAAGGATGCTGAAATAAATATTGATGTGCAGGTTTCTTTATGTACATGAGGTAGGTAGACATTACAGTATATACATATATACATGCAGCTATATATATATATATATATATATATATATACAGTGTATACACATATATAGTATATGCAGTATATGCAGTATGCACAGCATAGGTAGATGTATTTGAATAATTGTATTGATATTTAAAAAAACAAACAACATTCAACAATGGAAAAATAAATAATAAATAGTTTACAGGTGCAGTAGATATTAGGGTCCAATGGTATTATTTTAAAATTGTTCATTACACTGTGAATGAACGTGAGAATGTGCTAATACTATTGAACTATATTATTCTGATGTGCTTGTAATGACTTGACCTGCTGGCAATTGACTTCATGTCAAGACCTACATCATAGGTGCACCCGTGAGGTAACCATATATTTATGCATGCTTCATTCTGCACCGGACTGGAACATTAGCACTCACTTCACATTGTCACTGTCTGTACAACATGTATTTAATAGAAATATTTAAACTTGAGTGTGAGCCTCTTTTTGTTCTGTATGCGTGAGTCATCCCTTGCTGGGCTGCAACCAACCTTTGGTTAACACACTCCTGTCTCTTTTCCGCGCAACTAAATTAGGAGGAAAATTCGTTTGGTGTTGTGTGCCTGAACGCAGCAGCTCAGGACAACTGGGTGACTGTGGACTGCTGAACTGGTAACAGTCACATTTAACCTATTGATTTGACACAAACTCATGTTTTCTGACCTGTAACGAACTTTCACTCTGATTAAAACACACGTTTGTTTCTTCTTCAGGTTCATGTGCAGAAAACATTATATATTTATTGAAATTAACTGTAAACACAATTAATCTTCAATAGATTAATTAATAAAGGCTAAGTTAATTCAAAAAGGGCAACTTGCCCTTTAATAGAGAGTGACTGAGTGGAGATTTGGTGTAGGTGATTTTAGTGTAATAACCAGTTTGTACCATCCGTTTGAATGTTGGATTAACGCAGGACAGCAGCAGCAGCAGTGGGGGTCAGAAGGACGTAACGTACCCACGTTTAAAAAATACAGTGAGTGCTGCCAAAGTGTGACACTTTCTGATCATTTACCTTCTGCGTCATTTCCCCAAAATTCATAGAGTAAAATGCTTAGGAGCTCTACTATACAGAATACACTAAACACACATTGGCCCTAAACCACATTAGCGCTACTGTCAAACTAGGACACTCAAAACGCATCATTGAAGTGTAGGCCTAATAAATGAAACACACAACAATAATAATATAAACAACAAAACAGTAACAATAATAGGCTGAATAAACATGACTGCATGAATCCAATCATCACATATGTTCATTATTCACACACCGTGAGCTGACGAGCTGCTACTGCTCAAAGAAAGAAAGAAAGAAAGAAAGAAAGAAAGAGAAAAGGTAAATCAGCTGTCAGAGCATTTCTTTATTTCACTTAGATAGATGCGCTCTTTATACACACTGTTCTCCATCCTCCCTCCCTCGGACCTCTACCTGTGCGCATTCAGCTCAGACAACGCTGCTGAGAACTTGATGTTTGCAGTGTATACATAGGCTACTTCTTTTTCTGTCGGCATTGGGCACACACACCCCCCAGACTCCCATCATTCTGTAGTGTTCTGTGGGCCAGTAATACAAATCACAATTCACAACGATCCTTACTGCCTGAAGTCAAGCAGCATAAGTTAATGTGCAAATACTACTGGCACATTGAGTGAGTTAAATACACTTAACTGGACGGGCCACTAAAAAAGGAATCATTTATGAGATTAAAATCTTAATCTGCAGATCAAACACAACGGAGTGAAATTATTTTGAAATCCAATCAGATCCCTGGATTCATTTTTGTAATCTTGGAGGAAACTAGTTTTGCAGATGTAAGCTTTTACCTTCAGCGGCTGGACATATTACACTACTTTGATTTTAACAAACAAAACTGGATTTTAACCGTCGTAAATCTGAATTATGGGAAGAAAGGGCACAATCGGGTTACCAATTTTGTGGAGTAGCCGAAAGTAATATAACTAGCAGTGTAACTAATTACTGTTGGCAGGGAGCAAAAAGTAAAGTAATTATATTAATGAGTGATGGGTGATGTGACTTTTGAAAGATCTTATGAATCCCACAGGGTTCAAAAATGATGAATGATCTCAGCTATCCAAAGCAAGAAAATAGTAGAACTTGAGATAAAGAAAGGGTTGGAGTGTCAAGCATTAATGCAAATACAACATCCTGCCAAAATGCATAAGTACATCATCCAACCTCTCCCCCCGCTCAGATCAGCTGTTTTTCCTGCTGAATATCTCCACTCACTGCCTGTTTCTGACACAAATGTCGCCTGTCATGTTTCTGGATGATTTCTAAGCGCTTATGCTGTTGTTCTGTTCGCTGCAGCTAGCGAGCTCGATCCACCTGCCCTTTAAGCCAATCAACAGCTTTAAAAATATTCAGCAACGCAGGTGAAGTTGTTTTTCAGGAGAGGCAGCCTACACTCTCAAGCATGACGTTGCTACAATGAGAGCATCATTCATCCGACTGAACTCAAATTTCCCCAATTTAAAAGATAAACGTAAATCCCTATTAACATAACTGAAAAGTTCAGGTAAAATCATTTTGCCCAGCTCGATTAAAGCT